AGATTGCATCATAATAACATGTGAAAAGTGGAAAGATTCAATTAAAAAATGCTGGAATTATTGGTTATATATATTGAGAAAAACATTCTCACTAAAGATGAGAATTGACAAATTACTTACATGTAAAAGGCAAAACTTTAGGAAAATATCTTTATAAACTCAGACTATTGAATTAATTTCTTCAAGAAGATACAACGCTAACTATAAAATACCTGCCAATACAACTACACTAAGATTAATAATTTCTGTTTAACTATCTAGTCAACAAGAATCTACTGAATGCCTAGTAACCAAATACTATATTCTAGGCATTAAATATATGGCAGTGATCAAAAGACACAAATACCTGCTGTCATGGATCTTATATCCTACAAAGGGAGAATGATAAAAAACAAAATAAATATAAAAAACAGTATGCTATATAGGAGTGTGTATTAAGGAAAAAAACATGAAGCAGGGAAGGAGGATTTGAGCCATTGGAGAAGAGTTATTGAGAATAGCCAGTGAAGATTCACTGAGACATTCTTGGCTACATTCCTGAATGAAGGGAGAAAGCTGTTGTCTATGTGGTCATCAGGGGAAGCACATGCTAGCAAGAGGGACAGCGAGAACAATGTCATTGAAGAAGCAGCGTACTTCCTGTGTCTAAGGAACAGTGAGAAGGTCATGTGCCTACAGCAGAATGGAAGGACAATGGGAGGAGACAAAATCAGGGAGTACTAGAGGCCAGATCACATGGGCTTTTGCAGTCATACCAAATAATTTGATTATTCTAAGTAAGATGACAAATCATAAAGCATTTTAGGAAAGGAGTAAAATGATCTGCTCATATAGGACTGGATCCTTTTGGCTATTCTACTATAGGAAGACTAAAGAAGGGTGGAAACATCTTTTGGAAGGCTACTGCAGTATTCCAGGCAAGAGATAATGGTGGATTTTCCTTTGGGAATTTTTGTTTGTAAATATAGAAAAAGAAGAAGAAGAATATGGTGGCTTTGATTAAGATAGCAGCTGTGAGCATGAAGACAAGTAGCTATCTGATCAAAGAGCCAAACATGGAGAACATATAAGCATGTGTTAATGGATTTATATCTTCTGAATCAATAGGAAAACTATGCCAAAAAATAGGAACTAAAACATTTTCATGGAACAGGGAATACAATTGGCCCATAAACATAGGAAAAGCCGGGCGTGGTGTCTCACGCCTGTAATCCTAGCACTTTGGGAGGCCGAGGCGGGCGGATTGCTCAAGGTCAGGAGTTCAAAACCAGCCTGAGCGAGACCCCGTCTCTAAAAAAAAAAAAAAAAAACATAGGAAAAGATGTTCAACCTCATCTGAAATCAGGGAAATGCATATTATGACTAAAACGATATGCAATTTTATACACATTATGTTTAACAAATTAAGTCTCCAGGTATTGGCAAGCCTGTAGATCAACAGAAACTCATAACATATTCCTGGTAAGAATGTGATTGTACAACAACTGGGAAAGCAATTTGGCATTCTATTGTAAAGGTAAATATTTACACATCCTTCTATGACCCAGGAATTACACTTCTAGGGTTATACCTTAGAAAAACTCTTGAACATGTTCATTAAGAGATGTCTATAGAATATTAAAAGGAATAGAATTTAAAATAGCAAAAACACAACAAAAAAATAAGCAAAAACTAAAGACAGTGCAAATATCTCCAAACAGGAGAATGGATAAATTATTATATATTCACTTTATTGACTATTAAGAAAATAAATAAATTGTTACAGTATAAGTTAATATAGTTGAATTAAAAAAAATCATATTGAAGAAAAGAAAATAAATCACAGAAGTCCACTATAGAATGACAGCATTCTGTATAATGCTCAAAACCAAAAAAATAAATATATAGCTTATAAATGCATATACATGCATTACATATATACAAGTAAGACATGCATATATATTCTAAATGTAAAATTAAAAGCAAAAAATTATAAACATAAATTTAAGTGGACTTAATATTAATAGCATAATATTTTAATTCATAAATAAGATGATTGCTTCACAGGTATTCATTTTATTATATGTGCCATAACTTTTATAAGTAACATATTTTTATAGCTATTAAATATTACATAAATATAAATTTTTAAAAAAGCCAATGTGAGGGCCAGGTGCAGTGGCTCATGTCTGTATTTCTAGCATTTTGGAAGGCTAAGGTGGGAGATTCAATTTAGCCCAGGAGTTCTAGACCAGTCTAGGTAATAGCAAGACCCCATCTCTATAATAAATAAAAAAAAAAAAACTTAGCCAAGCATGGTGGCATGCACCTGTAGCCCCAGATACTTGGGAGGCTGAGGAAGGAGGATTACTTGAGCCTAGGAATTTGAGGTTCCAGTAAGGTATGATGATGCCACTGTACCACTCTAGCCTAGACAACAGAGTGAGACCCTGTCTCAAAAAACAAACAAACAAACAAAAAATGACAATAACAAAAACAACTAACGTAGGAATCAAGGCCCTTATCCCCCAATATATTCACTGAAAAATCACTGACTTGAGGCAGTTTGATTAATTGGAGAAAAAGTGTACATATTTATTTAACCTGTATACACAGGAGCCTTTAGAATGAAGACTCAAAGATTCAGGGGAAATTTCTCATTTTTATGCTTACGTTCAACAGAGTACAGGCAGCCATGCAGAAATATGATTGGGCGTAAAGGGTAGGATCTCATGTTAATAGACTGAGTGAGGAAGGCCAGCAAAGCCTGTCTATCTAGATTTTTCTTCCTTTAAGCATATAATCCATCCTTCTAGTTGTGGGGCAAGGCCTTCTCTGGAATAGATGTCTTATGACCTATAATCAAGCAAGATAGGGAAGATCATTTCTATATGAAGAGTTTTTAAACAGAATAATTTTAGGTTTTATGCCTGGCTTTTGGGAAAAAGAGTTTTGGCTTTTATGACTTGCCTTGGAGAAAAGGAACTCTAGTTTATATGGTCAGCCTCAGGAGAGAATGGGACCAAGAGGCCAGAGAACAAGAGATCAGAGAAAAACTTTTGCTTCTGAGGCCTTCATTTTGGGGTACTGTTTTCTGAGCCCCAATACTATAGATTTACTTGATATTTGAATGTTCTTTAGATTAGCATTAAAATGAGTTTGAAATTTGATAATATACAAATTTGGGATGAAAGTAATTTGAGGTATACTTAGATGATCAAACATGAATGAAGAACTCAATTTTGGATTAAAATTATGACACCTGTAAGCATTAAAGTGTATGATATATATCCTCCCTTATCTATAAAATTAAACTCCTTAGCTGATCCGTTTGTTATGAGAGTGCTTGACATAATTTATGCCCCTGGTATAATTTTTCTAGCCTGACTGATCCTGCAATGTTTTTGATTTAGTACTTGTTTCCAAGTATTACAACTATGCACTTATGAGTTCCTATCACACAAATCTTGAATTTCTTTAGAAGATAAATGGACTTTTTTTCATTTTTTCATCACCAATGCCAAGTAATTTGTCTATACCATAATCCACAAATATTTGTGGAAAAAAATAACAAGACAAAATGTTAAACTGTAATGGCTTAATTGTAACTCGTAGGTTAATTATAACAAATCTTTGGCTTCATTGTGAAGAATTCTTAGCCAAGGATGAGACTGTGAAGTCAAATGAGCTTTTTTACAACATCTTAATTCTCCCCAGTAAATTTGGAAAAGTCATGGAATCACAAGCAGGGACATTTAGTTTTAGGATATATGCTACCAAAATTGATATTCTTGACATCATTATGATTTCATGTCTTAAAGACATTGCTTTTTGTAAGATTCATCTCATAAAACACATTTTCAGTGTCTGCTCTTTGTTTTGTAATATTGAACCAGGCAGGCTAGATGAAGAAATAAGCCTGTGTCACAAAAACACCACCGTCTCTTTGAAAAAGTAGAAACTCTTAAAATTTAAGCGTTTCATTAAAAAGAGGAATAATTTCTTGCTAATCAGCCATGAACATTAAAGGTATGAAAATGAAACAACTCAGTATAGTAGATGCAAGTTGAACAGATGAATTGATAAATTCTAAAATACACTGTCAGAGATAATAGTTTGAAAGGGACAATTTAAATCAGTATGTCAGCAGTTAAGGTGCATAAGGTATAGGCATTGCCTTTGAGGACATTGTAGTCTGTTGTTGACATGCAGATAAAAAGCTAAATTTCGACATAATTAAAGGTCTGACATTTTTCATGTAAGATAATACAGTCATTGAAGGATTCAGAAAAACAATATGAGATATCTGCATGATGGCTCTGTAAGCTCATACAGCACATGGCAAGGATAGGAAAATAAAAACTTAAAGAAGAGAGATGAGATCTATATTAAGCCAAAAGTATCTGTAAACAGAACTGGAGCAGAAAAGGGAAGCAGGACAAGAACCAAGGGACAGTTGTGCTTCAAGTCTATAAGCAGAAAGCGGTGACTGGGAGTTTGGCTTCTGTGAGTAAAAAGGACAAAATTAGCTATGTAAGACGCTGGCTATAGCACATGAGGAGTTGAGGTCTGATTTTTCCACTCATAAAAGAAAGACAAGAAAAACCAGTGCTTCCCTCTGACTGAGGGTATTGCTCATGTTGGGTTTATATTTAGTGAGAAAAAGAAGCAAAAATCACTTTTACTCAAGAAGTGAACCAAAGTGAGCCAAAAACTGAATGAAACAAAAACTCGGTGACTGGATGGATAACATCCTTGCTCTTTCCATGATGTGGCCATTCCCTGTGAAACAAGTTAAATGAAACCTATTTATGGACTAGGAACACCAGAAGGCTAATTTGAGGCAGTGGGTGTATGTTGTTGTTGTTGGTGGTGGGGGTGGTGGTGGTATAAATACACCAAACAAGAATGAGTCAGGAATGAGAGAATAAACACGGACAATAAACAGTCAATGAGAAATAAAATTGCTTCCAAGTCAAAATGGGACTGAAAACCAAACCAAAATTCTAAAACAGCTTGGAACAACGGCGGGGCTTGAGGCCGCTTCCCCTCCCGCCCCATGGAGCGGCCCCCGGGGCTGCGGCCGGGCGCGGGCGGGCCCTGGGAGATGCGGGAGCGGCTAGGCACTGGCGGCTTCGGGAACGTCTGTCTGTACCAGCATCGGGTTGAACCATGCGAATGTTGTAAAGGCCTGTGATGTTCCTGAGGAATTGAATTTTTTGATTAATGATGTGCCTCTTCTAGCAATGGAATACTGTTCTGGAGGAGATCTCAGGAAGCTACTCAACAAACCAGAAAATTGTTGTGGACTTAAAGAAAGCCAGATACTTTCTTTACTAAGTGACATAGGGTCTGGGATTCGATACTTGCATGCAAACAAAATTATACATCGAGATCTAAAACCTGAAAATATAGTTCTTCAGGATGTTGGTGGAAAGATAACGCATAAAATAATTGATCTAGGTTATGCCAAAGATGTTGATCAAGGAAGCCTGTGTACATCTTTTGTGGGGACACTGCAGTATCTGGCCCCAGAGCTCTTTGAGAATAAGCCTTACACAGCCACTGTTGATTATTGGAGCTTTGGGACCATGGTGTTTGAATGTATTGCGGGATACAGGCCTTTTTTGCATCATCTGCAGCCATTTACCTGCCATGAGAAGATTAAGAAGAAGGATCCAAAGTGTATATTTGCATGTGAAGAGATGACAGGAGAAGTTCGGTTTAGTACCCATTTACCTCAGCCAAATAGCCTTTGTAGTTTAATGGTAGAACCCATGGAAAACTGGCTACAATTGATGTTGAATTGGGACCCTCAGCAGAGAGGAGGACCTGTTGATCTTACTTTGAAGCAGCCAAGATGTTTTGTATTAATGGATCACATTCTGAATTTGAAGATAGTACATATCCTAAATATGACTTCTGCAAAGATAATTTCTTTTTTGTTACCACCTGATGAAAGTCTTCATTCACTGCAGTCTCGTATTGAGCGTGAAACTGGGATAAGTACTGTTTCTCAAGAGCTGCTTTCAGAAACAGGCATTTCTCTGGATCCTCGGAAACCAGCTTCCCAGTGTGTCTAGTGGAGTTAGAGGGCTGTGATAGCTATATGGTTTATTTGTTTGATAAAAGTAAGACTGTATATGAAGGGCCATTTGCTTCCAGAAGTTTATCTGATTGTGTAAATTATATTGTACAGGACAGCAAAATACAGCTTCCAATTATACAGCTGCGTAAAGTATGGGCTGAAGCAGTGCACTATGTGTCTGGGCTAAAAGAAGACTACAGCAGGCTCTTTCAGGGACAAAGAGCAGCAATGTTAAGTCTTCTTAGATATAATGCTAACTTGACAAAAATGAAGAACACTTTGATCTCAGCATCACAGCAACTGAAAGCTAAATTGCAGTTTTTTCACAAAAGCATTCAGCTTGACTTGGAGAGATATAGTGAGCAGATGACTTACGGGATATCTTCAGAAAAAATGCTAAAAGCATGGAAAGAAATGGAAGAAAAGGCCATCCACTATGCTGAGGTTGGTGTCATTGGATACCTGGAGGATCAGATTATGTCCTTGCACACTGAAATCATGGAGCTACAGAAGAGCCCCTATGGAAGACGTCAGGGAGATTTGATGGAATCTCTGGAACAGCGTGCCATTGATCTATATAAACAGTTAAAGCACAGACCTTCAGATCACTCCTACAGTGACAGCACAGAGATGGTGAAGATCATTGTGCATACTGTACAGAGTCAGGATCGTGTTCTCAAGGAGCTGTTTGGTCATCTGAGCAAGTTGTTGGGCTGTAAGCAGAAGATTATTGATCTACTCCCCAAGGTGGAAGTGGCCCTCAGTAACATCAAAGAAGCTGACAATACTGTCATGTTTATGCAGGGAAAGAGGCAGAAAGAAATATGGCATCTCCTTAAAATTGCTTGTACACAGAGTTCTGCCCGGTCCCTTGTAGGATCCAGTTTAGAAGGTGCAGTAAACCCCCAAGCATCAGCATGGCTGCCCTCGACTTCAGCAGAACGTGAACATTCTCTGTCATGCATGGTAACTCCTCAAGATGGGGAGACTTTAGCACAAATGATAGAAGAAAATTTGAACTGTCTTGGCCATTTAAGCACTATTATTCGTGAAGCAAATGAGGACTGCAGCAGTAGTATGATGAGTCTTGATTGGAGTTGGTTAACAGAATGACTTGCCACTTGTTCAGTGTCCCCAAATTGATGGAAGTTGTTGTTGCACATGTTGGAATTTGTTTTTTCCCCCTGAAACCATTCTTCAGACACCAGTGAGTGGAAGAACTGGCTGTGATCAGAAACTGCATTTCTACTATGATCATAAAAATGATTTTACAAGCGCAGTATTTTTATTCTGAGTAATTTTAGCCTGCTGAACAGATAGGATTTTATAAAAGTCAATGAACTTGTATAAATAATTGTTTTAATACCACAGCTACTTTGAACATCTTGTTGTTACTCATTTATCTTAAAGAACAAAAAAATACCTTCTAAAAATTTTAACTTTGGGTATAAGGCTATTATAGTATTGTTGAGAAGAAATCTCAATTAACATACATTTTAAGTAAAAAGTTGTCTACTTGTGTTTCTGTGGAAGAGCTGCTCACAAGTAAAGTTGTATTTCTTGAAGAATAAACCCTACCTCTTGTGTTACACTCAGAAAGTTCTCTTCCTGGCATCATAAGGAGTTGGCTTAACCCATATTAATTTACTGCACATTCATAAACCATGTTAAGTGTGCTATGTGTATATGTATTTAAGATGTACATTTAATAATATCAAAGAGAAGATGCCTGTTAATTTATAATGTATTTGAAAAGTGTGTATGTTTTTCATTTGTAAAAATGAAGTCCAATTGTTTAATTTTCATGTCTTGTTCCCCCCCCCCCCCCTTATACAATTTATAAAGATGTACATGCCCTTATCTGTAATTGTTATTCCAAACTCCAAAAAGCTCTGAAAACAAGGTTTTCATTAAGGCTAGCTGAAAAAACTATTTTGCGTGTAAATCTAATCTGAACTGACATGAAATCTATTATCCCAAAAAAAAAAAAAAAAAAAAAATTCTAAAACATATGAAAAAATGCAGTATTAAGAAAAACAGTCAACACTCAAAGATGATTTTAGTCTACATAAAATTAAAATGATAAAATAAAATGGCAAGTATACTTAGAATACTCCAAGAGATAAAATAATTCTTTAAAATAGAGCAAGAAATTCCAAAACAAAAATATACGAATAATAAAAGAAGAGGTAGACAAAAAAGACTACATCACAAGTGCTTAAAATTAAAATATATGGACATTCAAAATTTTAAATCATTTGTTGGAACTTATGCTACTAACCTAGATGGAGTAACTATATCGGACTAAACCTCTTTCCATTAAAAAACAAACAAAAAAAAAAAAAAAAAAAAAAAAAAGAAAGAAGGAAAAAGAAAAAGAAACACCGGACAAAATATAACAGAAATTTGATTCCTAAGAGAAGAAAAACATACAGGTGAAAAACATGTGATTATTGCCCTAGATTTTTACCCAGAGGCACTTTCTGGACTGGACCATAACATAACACAGGAAGAAGGTACCAAAGTATGCAGAGGACATTAGCAATATTTGAAGAGGCTAAAGTGGCTAAAATTTGTGGTGCAGAGTAATGACAAAAGAAAGAGCTTCAGAAATCTGTAGAGGGGTCACCTTGAGACTTTGGCCAAGTAATATGTTACATATGGGTAAATTCAGACTCCACAAGGCCAAAGTATACTACAGAGGTAATAATTGCAAGGAAGCTACAACTAAAATCACTACCAAAGCTTGCATAAAGCTGAGACACTTTAGTTCTGAACAGTTAACTTGCCCAGCCTCATTGGAGGCCACAGCATTCCATAGAAACCACTGAAAGGCCATGACCAGAGGAATCTAGACTTCCCCATAAAGTGTAAAACAAGTCTCTGAAATATCAAAATGATTCACAAGTAACTTACCACTTGCCAGAACAAAGATCTATATTCTTTTTTTTAAATTAATCAACTTTACCTTTTAGAGTAGCTTTAGGTTTGCATAAAAATTAATTGGAAATTATAGAAAGGTCTCATATGCTCCTCACACCCTCCCCCAAACACACAGTTTCTCCTATTGTTAACATCTTGCATTGATGTGGAAAACTTGTTCCAATTGATGAGAAAATACTGATAAATTATTAGTAACTGAAATCCATAATTTACATTAAGATTCACTGTATTGTACATTTTATGGGTTTTAACGTATGTATAATAACATGTATCGACTATTACAGTGTCATACAGAATAGATGTACTGCCCTGTAAATCCCTAGCAATCCAGCATTTATCCCTCTTTTCTGCACCACAATTCCTTAACAAGCACTGATCTTTTCATTGTGTCAATAGTTTTGCCTTTTCCATACACTTCCTTTACACAAAAGCTTTCTCAGGTTCTGCTTTTAGAAATAACCAAAATTAAGTGCATGTGTTAAAAAATATTGGTGAGCAGGAGTAAATAATTAATTTTAAGTGGCAGATCTAACATATACCCCTATCTTCTCTCCTTTCCAATGATCCATTGTAAATATCACAAAAAGATTTATATCAATGTCAAAAACATAGAAGAGGATGAGAAAGATAAAGAAAATCACAACATTTTAGAAACTAGAAAACAATAGGAGCAGAGATAACTGACTTCGCAGTGGGGAAAGCAGGAAAGTAACCTAATTTACAACACATGGCATTGTACATTACCTAAAAGAAGAGCTGAGAGATAACCTGAGATTATTCTTTGAAGAGTATAAAACAAAAGGTCTCTAGATTGGGGCACAGCAGGTATAGTGGAGAGCAAGAGTATAATACTAAAAAATGGGGGACTGAGTGAAAAGTAACATGCCAGTACTGGGCATCCCAGAATTATTCTTGACTTGGTTCTCAGAATGCCAGGAAGCAGGTGTACATTCTCTAAACAAAATACTGGAAGACAGAAAAAATGAGAGCCAACATTCAATAGATAGGTTGGAAAATAATGTTGATAGAATCTCTCAGAAAAGTAGACAAAAAGAGAGATGGAAAATAAGAGAGAAAAGATAAGAACATTGGAAGTTTAGTCTAGGAGAGGCAATCTAAGCAATAATTTTATTGTTTAGCCACTTCTAGTGGCTAAAGCAAGTCACATGAGCAAGCCCATGTCAGTGGAACAGAAGAGATATTCCCTCAACAGGAAATCATCCTAAATCACGTATCAGTGGTAGACAAATGGAATTATTCTACAAGAAGGAGCAAATAATTGAGAACAATAATAACATCTCTCACATATTACAAATGAAAACTTGTGAAATATAAAGTTATCTTAGAAAAATATACCTTTAAAAGGAAAAAAGATTAAAAACAGGTAAACTCTACAAGCAAGCAAAAGAACAATAGGATAAACCTGAGAAGAAAGATGAAATAAAAATGAAATAAAATCAACAAATCCAAATTTTGATACTTGAAAGATCAATTAATTAGTCAAACTTTTGTCTGGACCAATTAATTGGGTGGGTGTGGGGGAGTAGAAACAAGTGTTATGATGAAAAAAACTAAATAGCAATAGAATCCAGACTTTATAAATTACAGGACAATAAACAACTTTCTGTCAATAATTTTTTTTTCTTTTTTTAAATTTCAGCATATTATGGGGGTACAAATGTTTAGGTTACGTATACTGCCCTTGCCTCCCCCCCTTCCTCCCTGAGTCAGAGCTTCAAGTGTGTCCATCCCCCAGATGGTGCTCATCGCACTCATTATGTATGTATACACCCATCTCCTCCTCCCCACTCCCATCTGCCTGATGCCCGATGAATGTTATTCCTATATGTGCACTTAGGTGTTGATCAGTTAAAACCAATTTGAAGGATTTGACAGCTACATAAAACATATAAATTTGTGGAAAAATAACAATAAGCCACAATTTTAAATTTCTTAAAAACCAACTAGGAGTTGTGGAAAGGGATGGTGGGTATGAGTTTCATTTTATGATTATATAAGCTTTCCTGTATGTGTGAAATACATTTTAATAAAGTGATATGATAATTTTAGGTGCAAATCTCATAAGATAAGTAAAAAGTAGAAAGTGCAAGAGCTGGAAGAAAATTTAGTCACCTCCAGATCTAATCTCACACTTTTATTCATAAAAACTATAGTCAAGATGGTCAATAATGTGATTAAATTGATAAATTTATTTAAACTCAGAGGCAAAACTGAACAGAATTCTCTCCAATTTAAACACAATTGCACCTAGGACATTTGACTAGATTTTGAAGAGTGGAAGTAATCCCACACCCATTCACAGATTTAATGCTCTTTTACCACAGATCTTATGACTCACACTAAAATTGTTGGCTTCTTCTCAATATTGTCAGACGATGGCATAATAACCTGGAGATACCGTGACCTGAATGACACATAAGAAAACTATGGAGAAACACATTGTTAAAACCTTTCATAGTTTTCTAAAGAGCATACATATTCAACAATGGAATAATCTCACTTTGATGGGTGCCTACTCCCAAATTCACTACATACATTTTTAGGCACCAAGATGATTTAACTTAACTGATATTTGCATGATTGTCTATGCATTAAAATGAGAATATGTGCTCTAATCTATGACTCTACAAGAAATAAAGACATCTTCTTGCTATACCATGCCCCAGTTATCTGATCAAAGAATGACAGCAATGTGCATGCATAATTAATTGAAATGGAGCCTCAATGACATGCTACCTTAAAATGTGTCACTTCTATGACCTTACTGAAAGGAGCACCTCTCCAGGGTCTCTTTCTATTGACTCTTTCACCTGATTAAAAAGGCCACATCAGCACTTTACCTCATCTATTTAATTGGCAGGCACATAGCCTAGATACCTGCTCATTATATAGAATCCCAGTTAGGACCTATGTTTTTGGACACCTGTTTTTACCTTTGCTTTTCTTATCAGAAGTATGAGAGCTCAATGTGACTAAAAGATGCTAATGTTACTGACTTATTTCCCCTCATTTACTCTTTTTGAAGTTAGGCATAAGAAAAAAGGAATGAACTTGAGTTTATCTCTATTTTGGCTTTGAACTCAGAAGAAAAGGAGGTATTATTATTCATTAAAATCCTCAAATTTCCAAGATCTAACTTATGACCTTTGTCCATTCTCCTATCAGTTATGTCAGTCATTTGAATAAAGCACTCGAGCACTCTTATTGTCATATCTTGATTATGTTCCTATCCTGTGGCTATGGGTCATAACTAAACCACATGAAAGAGGGATTAGTTATCAGAATAAAGAGAAAAATATTCTGGGCATGCTAAACTAGTAGATATCCATGATGGTTTCTACTTACTTGAGTACATGATTAAATTATTGTTAGCCATATTAATATAGGAATGTATTTCAAGAATTCTTCTGC